GTTAAAGAATGGAAAACAATCCAAGAAGCAAACGGACCAAAAAAGAAAGCAGGAAACAGCTATACTTATATCAGATAAAACAGATTTCAAACTCAAAAGATAAAAAAGACACCCCAACGGTCACTACATTATGATCAAGGGGACAATACTTCAAGAAGAAATACACTCATTACATATATTCACCAAAATGAAGGAGCACCAAAATATATCAGACAACTATTGTCATCTCTGAAACAGACATCAGAGAAAATACATACGTAGTGGAGACTTCAACACACCACTATCAACAATGGATAGATCAACGAGACAAAAAATAAGTAAAGACACTAAAGCTCTAAATAAGGACCTAGAGTGCTTAGGCTTAACAGACATCTATAGAACACCAAACCCCCAAAAAAATGGAGTACACATTTTTCTCAGCGCACATGGATCATTCTCCAGGATCGATCACATACTGGGACACAAGACAAACATCAACAGAGATACACCAAGATTGAAATCATACCAACCATCTTTTCTGACCATGAAGGTATCAAACTAGAAATAAACCATAAAAAGAAGGCAAGGAACTCTCCTACCTCATGGAGATTGAAAACCACACTACTGGAAGACCACTGGACTAATGAGGAGATCAAGAAGAAATTAAAAAATTCTTCGAATTGAATGACAAGGAGGACACCAATATTCTAAATGTATGGGATGCCGCAAAAGCAGTAATAAGAGGAAAAATATATAGCATAGAGGCTCACATCAAGAAAACAAGAAAGAACTCAAAGAAACAACCTAATCTTGAAGCTCAAAGATCTAGAAAAGAACAACAAAAAAAAAAACCCAAAACCAGTAAAGAAAAGAAATAATAAAAACCAAAGCAGAAATAAAGAAATTGAAACTAAAAAACAATCCAAAAGATCAATGAAACCAACAGCTGGTTCTTCGAAAAAAATCATAAAATAGACAAACCCATAGCCAGGCTCACAGAGGAAAAAAGGGAGAAAGCACAAATAAACAGGATCATCAATGAAAGAGGAGAAATCACAACGGACATAGCAGAAATCAAAAGAATAATCAGTAACTACTATGAACAGTTATATGGAAACAAGTTCAACAATCTAGAGGAGATGGACAAATTCCTACAACTCTACAATCACCCAAAGCTAGATAAAGAAGAAATAGAACACCGAAACAGACCAATTACAAGCAGCAAAATTGGAATGGTAATCAAAAACCTCCCCAAAAACAAAAGCCCAGGACCTGATGGATTTACAAATGAATTCTACCAAACATTCAGAGATGAATTAGTGCCTATCCTTCACAAACTCTTCCAAAAAATTGAGAAGGAAGGGACAATACCAAACACATTCTATGAAGCCAACATTACACTAATAGCAAAACGAACAAGGACAACACAAAAAGGAAAACTACAGGCCAATCTCCCTAATGAACACTGATGCAAAAATCCTCAATAAAATTTTAGCTATCAGAATCCAACAATGTATCCATAAGATAATTCACCACGACCAAGTAGGGTTCATTCCAGGGACACAAGGGGTTCAGCATCCAAAAATCAATCAACATTATCCAACACATCAACAAAAAGAAATATAAAAACCATGTGATAATATCAATCGATGCTGAGAAAGCTTTCGACAAAGTGCAACAGCCATTCATGATAAAAGCCCTTGAAATTCTTGGGATACAAGGAACATACCTCAAAATCATAAAGGCCATCTATGACAAGCCAACAGCCAGTATCATTCTCAATGGGGAAAAGCTGAAAGCATTCCCATTAAGATCTGGAACAAGACAAGGATGTCCACTCTCACCACTGCTTTTCAATATAATACTGTAAGTCCTAGCCAGAGCAATAAGACAAGAGAAGAGAAAGACATACAAGGAATCCAAATAGGAAAAGAAGAAGTCAAACTATCACTATTTGCAGATGCTATGATAATATACATATTGAACCCCAAAAACTCCACAGAAAAACTAATTCAACTCATCAATCAGTTCAGTAAAGTGGCAGGATACAAAATCAACATGCAAAATCAGTAGTCTTCCTATACACAAACAATAAATCTGAAGAAGAAGAAATTAAAAAAACCATCCCTTTTATTATCAGAACAGAAAAAATCAAACACTTGGGAATAAATCTAACAAAAGAGGTAAAGGACCTATACAAAGAAAAGTATAAAACACTGTAAAAGAAATAGAAGAAGACACAAAGAAATGGAAAGACATCCCCTGCTCATGGATTGGAAGAATAAACATTATTAAAATGGCCATCCTTCCAAAAGCAATATACAGATTCAATGTTATTCCAATCAAAATTTCAATGTCATTCTTCAAAGAAATAGAACAATTATTGATGAAATTCATTTGGAATCACCAAAAACCCTGAATAGCCAAAGCTCTCCTGAAAAAAAAAGAAGGGAATGGAGGCATCACACTCCCAGACTATAAACTATACTACAAAGCCATAATCATCAAAACTGCATGGTATTGGAACAAGAACTGGCACACGGATCAATGGAATTGAATAGAAAATTCAGAAATAAACCCACAGATTTATGGTCAACTTATCTTTGACAAAGGAGCAAAGACTATGCATTGGAGCAAAGAAAGTTTGTTCAATAAATGTGCTGGGAAAACTGGGTCGCTACATGCAAAAGAATGAAGCTTGACCACTACCTCACACCATACACAAAAATCAACTCAAAATGGATTAAAGAACTAGACATAAGACCTGAAACCATAAAATATATAGAAGGAAATATAGGTGAAACACTACGTGATATGCACATCAAAGACATCTTTACAGACACATCACCCAAAGCAGTGATAGTGAAGGCAAAGATCAACAGATGGGACTACATCAAATTGAAAAGCTTCTGCACAGCAAAAGAGACAATAACCAAAACAAAGAGAAACCCCAACGACTGGGAGAAAATTTTTGCACACAACACTAATGATAAAGGACTGATCATAAAAATCTGCAATGAGCTGATGAGACTCAACAACAACAAAGAAAATAACCCAGTCAAAAATGGGCAGAAGAGCTAAAAAGAAACTTCTCTGAAGAGGAAATGCAAATGGCCAACAGACATATGAAAAAATATTCAACATCACTTGTCATCAGGGAAATGCAAATCAAAACTACCATGATATACCATCTTACACCAGTGAGAATGGCACATATTTAAAAAACTAGCAACAACAAATGTTGGCAAGGATGTGGAGAAAAAGGAACGCTCCTGCACTGTTTGTGGGAGTGCAGACTGGTCCAACCACTATGGAGAGCTGTGTGGAGATTTCTGGACCTACTAAACATAGAGCTTCCATAGGATCCAGCAATTCCACTCCTAGGTATTTACCCAAAGGACACAGAAACATCAATTCCAAAGAGCACCTACACCCTATGTTTATAGCAGCACTGTTTACAATAGCTAAGCTTTGGAAACAACCCAAATGCCAAAAATAGATGACTGGATCAAGAAGATGTGGTACATATATACCATGGAATATTACTCAGCATTCAAAAAAGATAAACACATGCAATTTGCAGCAACATGGATGGCGCTGGAAGGGATCATGCTCAGCGAAATAAGCCAGAAAGAAAAAGAAAAAGAAAAATACCGGATGGTCTCACTCATAGCAGGAATCTAGAAAACTTAAATAAGGGACCAGGAAAATGAATAACTATAAGAAAGTGAAAATCAAAATCAACAAAAAAACTATGAGCCAGAGACACTCTATGGAGGGGGGGGGGGCGGGGAGGGAGGGATTGGGGTCAAAATAAGGGTTTGCAATTGTATGGGGAATATAAAAATCAAATTTATTTAAAATAAAAAAAAAAAAGAAATACAGTGATTCAATAGAGAGCATAACCTTCTGAAGAACATACCGAGGAGACCAACTAAACCTAAACATCTGAACTCATCAGTCTCTAAGAACAGTGTGCCTCTTTCCTTCAGAGAACAAACATGAAGGGTTTGGCCTGTGTCCCTCACCTCCACACGTCCTCTTATTCCAGAACTGGCCAGAACCAGAACCAACCCAGCATTCTCTTCCTTTAGGCCAAAAGGTAAATAAATAAATACATCCTATTTTAAAAACTTTAAAAAAAAATCAGAGATTGCATTGCTTCTCTGTTGCTGACAAGAAAGAACCACGGCTTCTGCAGTCAGCTTGGGAAACCCAACCAGACTTTATAATTGTGAAACTCAGTCCACAACACAGTGCAATTCCATGCCACTAGCCAAAACAAGTAACAGCAATTCACAATGTCAAAGGACAAACAGGAGCTCGAATACTTATGTCCCTTATCCAGAACAGGCCATGCAGCCACCGTCATCTCCATCTTGTTGTCTCAGGTTGATACTTTGATGGGAATCAACAGAAACAGAGTTAGTAGAGCTTGTCATTCTCTGGGGTCCCTAGAGAGTCTCCATTAGGAGAAGAAATAGGTTCTTGAAACTTGAACCACCCACCCCCCGCCCCTGCCACAGAGTTATTAATGGTAAATGGACGAAAGAGAAACTTCTTCCACAGAAATAACCAAAACAAAATAATTTTGCTAAGACCTTTTGAGGGAGAGATGGCAGCATATTGGGTGTGTGAAAGGGTACTAAAATGGAGCTGAAAGAATGTGTCATTCTTGAGAGTTGGAATAGCCACCCCTTTATCATACACAGAAACACCTCTGGCCTCCCCCTCATGTCGCTCCCACTCCAAAGCTTCTTGGTAACAGAGTCTGGAAAATGATGGGCTTCACCCAAGAGTGTCTTGTGAGCATGGTTCTGGGGTCAGTTGGAAAGAGCAACTGTTTCATGTGTGAACTAAACTGGAAATATTCCTTTGCTTTCTGATCGGTTAAGACCCTCCCTTTTGCCCCCTCCTGGTTTCTCAAGTAGATCATGAAGAGGACAGGGGGCCATGACTCCAACCACCCTCTGGTGACATCTCTGGGAGTAAAGCACCAAAGAGGGATCCTTGAAACTCACCGGGTAATGGCCTTCTTCTCTGAAAAGATCCTCAGGCAGAAATCTGCTTCCTGATTGGGCTCAGAAGTGCTGGGAATCAGGATGTACTCCCCAGGGGGCAGTTTGAACCGGTCAGAAACTTCCCTCTCTTTGAGGAAACTTTTGCTCTCAGCCCGGGGTGCATGGTCTCTGAAGAAGTCTTTGCTCAGGTGCTCCTCTTTGCTTGGGCACTGCAACAGGAGTGTGAGGGGAAGTGGTTTTCCTGGCTGCGGGTTTTGGCTATTAGGACACAGTTGAGGGACTGGCATTGAGTGTCAGGTGTGAGGCTGAAAAAGGACCAAGAACTTAGGACTCCATGGATTCTCAACAGTAATTTGGCATCTACCCACCTGGTAAATAGCGTAGCCGATTTTCAGCTCTTCAGCTCCAAACCTCTTGCGTTTCCTTCGATCTTTCTGCATCAGGGCCACAAGGAAAGTGCATTCCTCCTGCCCCTCATCTTTCTCAGTCAGGGAGAATTTTATCTGTGGATTGGTCCAAAAGGTATCTGCCATTCAAAAGAGGCAGGTTATTTTCCCTTGAAAAAACACCCAAAATGAAAAACAAAGGGGACACACACATCCTACCCACGCCCATCAAATTCTCCCAAACCTGAGAAGGTGTTTCTCCCTGTCCTGATTTCCCTCTTGCCCTATTTTCTACAACCCCCTGGAGAATGAAAAGGGGTCTCTTTTCCTTCTACCTCTTGGAACCATTTCCCATGCAACTGTTCAAAGACATTCTTCTGCATTTTGTCCACTGCAATTTGTTCCATCTTTTTTTTTTTTCCCATTTGGCATTTCAAAGGCGAGTGCGGGGCGCTGTGCTTGCCTCCCAGGGCCCACTCAATGGTGGTGTGATTTGAGAAGAAGTGACCTCAGGCCACCTCCAAGAGTGAATGCTGACTGTTCCACACGATTCCCTCTTGCCACAGGGAACTGCGACAAGTCCAGTCAGCAGCATTCACCAGGCGTACAGGCTTAAGGAATCCCCAGTGAGAGGGAAGTTCAGGGCTTTTGTCTGATGACCCTTAGGAGTTCTTGCTGAGCAGGTCAGTGAATGAGGGCTGGGGAGCCCTCATTTTGAAGATTTTTTTTTTGAACATTTATTTATTTATGCATACAAGAATTGAGGTACAGGCCAGAGGTGTGTGGGTGAGAGGATTCATCAGAGACTAAATGGGGAACAGGACAGGCAGACTGACTGAAATACACTGCTGAGGGGAGCAGCGGGTGAGACAGGAGAGGCCTGCTGTGCCATATATGGGTCACTTCCCTGGCCGGGGGTTGAACTCGTGCTGTAGAGGCTGCAGATAGTTGCATAGTACTGAGACTTAACCCCTTATGCCACCAGGGATGCCCAATTCTTTTCATTTCTAAACTAGTGTGAGTGTGTTTTCTATTGCTTGTCAGGGAAGATAACCCAAGTGGTAAAACAAAGAAGGTTCCTTAAGCAATTCTTATCCAAAGTCCTACCAAACCTTTGTGTAGGGTAAGGAAAAATGTCAGGCTTTTCTGCCCTCCTGCCATCAGGATAGATGATGGATCCTTGTGGTCCTGAATGCATGCCTGATGGCGGGCACCTGGAATAGGGTGTGGGCATAGGTAGATTCAACTGGGCTGAGACTGGGCTTTTAAGGGTGGCGTCACGGGAACACCAGCAGAAGCTGAAAGAGAAGCCAAGAAGCAGTAGAATGAACAGAAGAGCAGAGAAGCAGAGAGAACACCAGAGAGGCCAGATAGAGTGAGGATTTGCTGGGGGCTGGGAGGACTGCCAGCCTCCGGGCCCCCCAGCAACCCTGCCTGCCATATGCCTGGTGAACCTCAAAAAAAGACCTGCAAAAGCCACTAAGGACCCTGACTCCTCCTTTACCCGGTCTGCTGGATCTTAGAAAACCTGCACAGTGGCCATTCCTGACCTTTACACTTTGACATCCTCTTTTCCCAATCATCACTGAAATGCTTCTGTCTAGCACCATGTTTTGGGCCTTCTCTAGGGTCCTGGGCCTGATCCACTGATGTCCTGGTTTGGACTCAACACTTGGGGATGACAAAGAGAAGGGCAGGGAGACTACCAACCCAGGAATTTGCGGGAGCCTCCAGCCGTGGAGCCCCACACCCAGCTTCCTTGGTGGACTGTCACTTCCCATTTGCGTAGAGCATCTTCCTCTAGGGCATCAGGAGTGAGGTTGCAGATCATAACTTTGTCAAAATGGGCCTTGAAGTCCACAAATGCCATCCTGCAGCCAAGTGGAGAGAGACATGCTCTGGAGGGATGACACTGCATGACCTACTCATTCATTCAATCATCCAACAGTTATTGAGCACTTGCTTCTGTCCTGGAGGATTGGGGAGAAATCAGGCCTGGGGAGAAGAAAATAGACTCCCTCCCAAAAAAAGATAAAGAAAAGATAAAAAGGAAAAAAAGCTTAAAATATAGGTTGATATACATATAAGCACTACAAAGGAAAACAAAGTAGGGTGAAGGGGGAGCGTGCAGTGTGGGGGATATTTTAGATAAACAGCTAAGGGAACTTCTGACTGTCAGGTGGAGGCCTAGAGTGTAGGGGTTGGGACATAATGACTTTTTGGCAGTCCAGGTAGTTGGAGAACAAGATCTTAAGATGGCTAAGTCAGTAAAGGATGATGTTCAAAGATAATGGTGGACCAGGATGGTCATCATAAGGCTTTCAGCTTTGACTCTGATTAGATGGAGAAACCGTAGGACGTGTTAACATGACCCATGACCCTTGACCCATGAGAAAGGGCACAGATAGAAGTGGAGTCACCAGCTATGAAGTGTGTGCTGTTGTCCAGGTGACAGATGAGGGTGGGTCAGTCCAGGCTGGTAGGATGGGAGGTGGTGAGCAGTGATCAGGTGAGCAGTGATCAGGTTTAAGACATATTTTGAAGGTTGAGCCTATAGGACTGGCTGGAGGATTAAATGTGAGGAAAAGAATGAAAGGCAAGAAGATACATGGTTTGAATAGTTGGATGGATAAAGATGGAGAAGACTGTGTTGTCGCAAGTTGGGGAGAGAAGGATTTGAGGTTCAGGCATGTGATCCTGGGATGTGCTAGTGAGTAGATATTCACAGGGAGATACTGAGTAGATCCTTGAATATATGGCTCTGGAATTCCAAGGACAGGAACTGCAGACATAAACTTGGGAGTATTGAAACCATGGGTGATCCCCAGAAGAGTTGTGCATGTTTGACATCTCTTGAACCTGCTCTCAGGAAGGCAATATTGTGTGACCCTTTTTATGAGTCCTATGACACAAACGTGTGCAGAAGAAATTGATCTTAAGCCATATTCCAAGCTGGTCAGAACCAAGAGACTACTGACACAAAACCAAGAAAACAGGAAAAAAGAACAGATTAGACACATCCAGAAGCAAGGGGTCCATCCCAAGAATCTGGAAGCCTTTTCATATATAGATCCATTGGTAACTATTTGATCAGACTTATTCAAGCCCATAAACTTTACATTCCTAACTTTTATTTCCTTTCTACCTCCATTTCTATAAAATCATTTCTACTTTCCAGATTTGAGCCTTGCCTCCTATCTCCTTGTTGGTTGACCTCACAATAAACAAAAAAAAAATTTTTTCCCCCCAAAATGGTGCCATAGTGGTTGATTTTGATGAGTGCAGGAAGTGAGCCTATTGCTGGTTTCAGTGTCAGTGTAAAGACAGTGTGATATTGTAATTTATCAGAAATATTTTGTCATTCAGGTGACCAAAGTATATTTCTCATATATTTGGTCTTTATCCACAGTCCCTGACAAATGGCTTCCGGAACTCGATTTTTCTTAGTGTTGCAAGTGATAAAAAGTGAGTTTTGCTATGTAAAAGAGGGGAGTTTGGGATGCATCTAATGAGAGGAACTAGGTTTTGCTCCTGTCTAATGACGCAAAGGGCACAGAAACATTAATTCAAAAGGCACCCACACCCCTATGTTTATAGCAGCACTATTTACAATAGCTAAGCTATGGAAACAACACAAATGTCCAAAAATAGATGACTGGATCAAGAGATGTGGTACATATACACCATGGAATATTACTCAGCAATCAAAAAAGATAAACTCAGGCAATTTGTAGCAACATGGATGGAGCTGGAAGGGATCGTGCTCAGTGAAATAAGCCAGAAAAAGGAAAATACTGGATGGTCTCACACAGAGCAGGAACTTAGAAAACCTAAATAAGAGACCAGGAAAAAGACAAATTATGATAAAGTAAAAATCAAAATCAACAAGCAACTATAAACCAGAGACACACTATGGGGTGGGGGGGGCGGAGGGGAGGGATTAGGGTCAAAATAAGGGGGGTGCGAATTGTATGGGTAATATAATCAAGATGTAAAAGCATACAAATTGCAAAAATGAAAAATTATGTAAAAAACATATAAAATGAAAAAAAAAAAGGGGAAGGACTCAGGCAAGAATTCACTGGCATGAGCATATGAAAGGAAACAGAACCAGAAATCAGACATTTGTGGTCTTGCAGAGTTGGAAAGAGTCCATTGTTTCCGGGTCCCACAGGAAGAAACAAGACTTGGAATGATTTCTAGAGATAAAGGGCCATTAACCAACTTTCCATTAGCAAAGATGTTCAGCTCTGTGGAAAGGCCAGATTAAGAATTCCTTCCCATTGGTCTGTATTGAGATGCTACAAAGGTGGCTGCCTTCAAGGGTCCCTGTCACCAAGTTGGGCCTGGAGGTAGTGACCCAGGGAGCAGCTTGCTGCCTGCATGCAAATTCACTGGGCTGCAGATTCAAATGCAAACTTGGATGGTGGATGGTTCAGTGGAGGGAGGCTGGGTGAGAGCTGGGAGGATGAACCTTCTGTTTCCTGGATCACATGGATTCCCTTGAGACTCGAAACAAGTCTGGAGATGGGGAGAGTCCCCAACACGTGGCATATTAAATCCTTTGCCAAACTGGGTGGATATAAGGGTTTTGAGACAGGTGTATGTGATTTACTGAAATGTACGATAAAATGATAGGAAGAAATGGGGTGTTCTTTATACCCAAAGGCCATGGGGGCTTGTCATACCTGTTTTGCAGTTAGTACAGAAATAAAGAGGTAAGAACTGTACCAGAATTCTCCATCGTCCAGAGCAGCATGACACAGGCGCTTTTTCTCAGCGGGGTCCACAGAATCCCACTCAGAAGATCTAGGAGGAAACCAAATCAGCAAGTGGGTCATGAGCAGTACTGGCCTTGGGTCGGGGAAGCACCCTTTCCTAGGAACCAAGGGTGTGCGGTTATGAAAGGAATAGATCCTGGTCAGTGACTATACCATGGACCCCAGAAATGTGGGAGAGGCTTTGAGATTGGTCAGAAAGTACATTTCCAAGCACAGCCAATGGAAGAAGGTGCTTCTCATGAGACCACCACAGGCAGAGAAACTCACTTGACCCCTGTTCTTTGTCAGCTGACACTTTGAAAAGTCATAATCATAACGTGTTTGACAAGCTTGTTGGACAATCATCTACCAAGTACTTTCTTTCTGCGAACTCCCTAGGGAGCTGAATCGTGTTCTGCAAGGGGGCCTTGCCTGTCCTCAGGTGAGCAGCTACCTACTGCCCTCCAAATTGGGAATGACACCTCTAAGGTCACTGCTTCCTTGGGACATCCTCTTCACACACACACACACACACACACACACACCTGTCTCCAGAAGCAGTTCACCCTTGAACCACTTGGGGTGATCAACCTCCTGTGCAATAGAAAATCCAAATGTAACTTATTGTCAGTCCTCCTTATCCTGAGGGTTCTGCATCTGAGGATTCAGCCAACCATCACGCAAGGTTGGTTGAATCAGTGGCTGCAGAACCTGCTGAGAGGTAACAGATCTGAGTATAATGAACGTGTACAGCTAAACCTGCGTTGTTGAAGGATCAAGTACAGTTCAAATGGCGCTGCCACCACCTCAGCACTCTCATGGGGGGAAACATTTCCCCAAACCCCGTGGGTCTAGACTCCTGGGGGAGGGCTCGGAAGAGCCAAGTGAACCCAGAGCCTCTCTCCAGGTTGCCCCTGGCGGGGTCTGGAAAACAGAACTAAGAGCCTTTATTTTTCCTTTGGGCCATTTTCTTCCAATGGCTCACACCCACATAATGGGTCCAAAGGCTCAGCTGAGCTTTCCAGCCTCCCTCTGGCACCAGGCAGAATCAGGATCTGGGATCAGGGCAGGGACAGACCCTCCCACCCCACCAAGGCTGCCTGGAGGCAGGCAGTCCCCAGCTGTGTCCCAGTAAAAACCCACGTCTCCCTCTTCACCATGTTTCTCAGGGAAAGGAAAAAGTAGCCTTTGTCCTTTTAGAGACTCTGTCCCCTGAGTTAAGGGACTCTATCAATCTTAGTCACTAAAAGCAGTCTCATTCCTTTTGATTTCGTGATTTCTCTTCCTTCCCTTTCCGCCAGGAGAGGAAGGCCGAGTTCATGCCTGCTTTGATGTGGGTCTGGTGAGAATCAGTCTCTGCCAAAGTCCCTTGGTTCTGAGGCGGTGGAAGGTAGGAGGGGCTGAGGGTGTCGGGAAGGGAGCAGTGATGGGGGACACTTAAGTGTGAGTCTTGAGCCCTCAAGCTGGCTTCTGGTTAATAAAACCACAGACACACAGATGACTGGCACCCCCTGGTGACTTGTCTGAACTGAGGACAAACACGGCCTTGGCTTTAATCGAGTTCTAGATTTGTACAGACTCCCTGGAGTCCCAGGAGCTGCAGGTGGGCAGAGAGGACAGCAAGAGCCCAAGCTGGCCAGAGCTCTGGGTGAGGAAGGAGAGAGGGAGGCGGTAGAGACGGGTCAGGATGCATCCTGCCTGTGCACACCTGCTCCCTCCCATCATCCCAGTCACAGGGGCCACCTCTCAAGGGACACGGAGGGCACACAGGCCTGAAAGGAAGACCTTTCCTATAAATGGAGTCAAATAAATAATGCTGGTCATCAGAGCAGTCGTAATGGCTGAATTTCTTATTCCACTTTGTTTGTCTCTTCTGGGCCACTGGGCTTCTGGCCAATGGCCAGAGAATCCTGTAGTGACCTGCTGGCAGCACTCAGGGATTCTCACACCCAAAATACTCATTGCCAGAAAACACATGTACAGACACACACACGCTTCACTGGGGCCACTCATATGTGGAGATAAAGCCCCACAATACATGGGGATGTGAACTATCCCCAAGGGAGGCAATACAGTCACGACATGAATACAATCCCAGGGAAGACAAAAGGCCACTCTAAGAGTCTTCCCTGAGAGTCAAGTTTGACTGCAAGGCGGGCCCCAAGGGATGAAGGGGAAAGAGGTGAGGTCACCCAGAAGCCAGGGGAGCACGTTAGACAAACTTCTCCTCCTTCCCAGGACACACCAGCCAGCCTTGGCCCACTGGACCCCATGAACAGCATTAAGGTGGGCGCCAGCCAGAGAGATGCGGTGGGGACCCACCTGTCGCTCCAGGGCCCGTTCCACTCGCCAAAGCCCCAAGGGTTCCGGACTCTGATCAGCTCAGTTTTCTGGCCTTGGAAGTTTACCTGGAAGGCAAAGGCAGCAGGGGAATGTGAAAGGATCAGTTCACGTGTGAGTTCCGGAGTGGTTCCTCTCAGCCGGGACTGGCTTTACCGGAAGACTCTTGACTTCTATACATTAAAAACATGTCAAAACTCATCCATTCTTAACTTGCCCTCGGAACTGTCCTGCTAAACATAGTGGCTAACGTGATATGAATCCTCAAATGAATGAGTGACTTGCTAGACTGCAATTTCCTTAGAGGCTTTTTTATCTGGGGAACCTCAGAATCCACAGAGAGAGGTGAAGAGTAATTCTCAGAAGTGCTCAGTGAGCTACTACTGCCTTTCCTTCATCCTTAGCCTCTTACTCACAGCTGAACGACAAGCATAGAAACACATGTTGGGAATTTAAACAGCAACAATAAATAAAAACCACATCTAAGTCTTCCAAAGCCAATAGTCTCCCATTCGGGATGTCATCTGAGGATCTCTGCTGTCCACATCAATAGCCCGGAGTCAGGAAAGAAAGCCCAGCCAGCCGTCCTTACTCTGCTCTGGGGCAGGAACTGCACAGTTCACAAGGGCTTTGGAGAAAGAGAAAATAAGACTTCTGCTCCTCAACTAGCCAGAAATTTGAGCTCTCAGAGCAGTTTTCCCTGATATACATGTATGTATATGTGTATATACATAGGTATATATGTGTATACACACACAGGTATATATGTATACACACATACATCACACTACACACGACAAAACAATATCAGTGTGAACGAACTGAGTGGCTCCACTTTCTTGGATTTTATTCTATCAGAGAGTTCCAAGTCCAGATCCAACCAACCCTGGATGTTGCTTTGTTGGTTGAATCTTGAATTTGGAGAACCTACTGTAACGGACTTAGGCATCTGTGGATTTTGGTATCCTAGGGGTGGCGGGTTGCCCTAAAACCAATACCCCAAAGACACTAAAGGACAATTGCAGTTAAGCTTTTGAGGAGGCAACAGTTATGTGCAGATAGTGCCCCCGCATCAAGGGTCCACTGTGTATCTGTATCTGTACCAATCTCCATCTATCCATTTATCTCTACCTTCCATCCATCCATCCATCCACCCATCCATCCTATTGAGTCTTTTCTCTGGAGAATGCTATTACAGGATTGATGTGGAATTAGAGAAGAAAAGAAAAACAAAGATCAAGTTCTCCTATCTGCTGCACAAGTGGGGAACTATGATGGAAGCTCATGTTGCTTTCTTCCCTGTTTTGCAGTTTTGAATGCTGGCTGCCTCCTCTAGATGACACATTCTCTGAAGTCTGAAAGCACAGTTTAAGCTTCAACGCACTAAGGAAAAGGACGAGCAGGTCACGGCTGTCCCTGCACCCACCAGCAGGACTGCATGTCACCTACCTGATCAATTCCCGTCACAGTGTAGCAATGACCCTTAATGAGACCAAAAGGTGTCCGGGCTTTGGACTCTGCAGTACTTTTGACCTAAAACATGAAAATAACACTGTTGGGCCCATCATGTAAGTCACTCCCCTACCAGGCCAGACCCAGCTCTGCCTGGCCTGGCCCTTCGCTACCCAGGAGGAAGGGACACACAAAATGTTCCACAGGAGGCCCCTTAGCAGTGACAATGAGGCATTCCTAGCCTCTCCCCAGGATGAGAAGTCCCTCATTCTCAACAAAGAGTTGACTTTTTCCCAAACAGAACTGTCTGATCATCCCCTCATGGGGGTGCACAGTCACATGCACGAGGTGACACTGTGTTACACTCAGCTCCGTGTCACCAGCTTGAAAACCCCAGGAGATGGGTCATTTAGTAGCAAAGAGCAAATTCCCAAGGTTAACTCAAGAGGAAACAGAAAACTTGGATAAGTTTCACAACTAGACGAGACAAAACTATGTGTGTGTGTACATAAAGAAAGTAGAAAAAATACTGTTAAGTATCTACTGATATATTTTCCATGATGTATGACATAAACAAAGAATCCAGAAAACAGTAGGGTTTCATTTCATGAAATCAAACCTAGCCCTGCGTTCCTAAGTGTGTTTGGCTGTTTGCATGAGCAAGGGCAGAGCTGAGGAGGGGACACACAGCACCACTGGGGTAGAGAAAGGGACAGAGATTTGTCGGGATTGTTCTACCTGACACAGGAAGGGTGTCTGAGCTTCGTAATTTGAAAGACATTAAATAGAAACTTCTGCTTTGAATTAAATAAACAAACACTGACACTCCCCAGTCCTGGAAGTGCCAGCCCTGCTGTGTGTGCTCAGGGCACCTGCTCATGCCTCTGACTCTGGCAGAGAGCTTGGAAGGGAGAGACAGGTGAGCGACTTACGATGGAGCAGCCCACCAGAGAGTCCCTCTTGAAGGCCGTCTCTAGAATCTCATAGAAGTTCTCTGGAGCCTCTTTGGTTGTGAAGGTCTTGGCTACACCCCCAGTGAAGTCTTCCATAGCCTCAATGGCGCTGCCCGCATAGAGTGCCTCATAGCTCCCATGTAACCTGTGAAGCCAGAAGTTTGGAAACGACTGCAGGGATGAGGAAGGCCACCAGGTGGCGCCTCCAGCCAGAGGTTTTTCTAACTGAATCAGAAACCTCCCAAGGCTTGCCCTGGCTGGGTGGCATGGAAGGAAGATGGGAAGTAGGATTTGGGGTCTACTTGATGCCCTGAAGACACAAGAAATCTCTGTGAGATAGGCAGCCTGGTGTGGGTTACTCTGACCCTGGGTTCAAGTGCCAGACCCATCTCTTACAGCTGAGTGTTGTTGTGCGAACCCACTCATGATTCAGTTTCATGATTTGCACAGTGGGGGGACAGTTGTCCTCTCCCCTCTAGGGCTGCTGTGATGCTTAAATAAGTCTCTCTCTCTCTTCATAGGACCTGACCAAGACAGAATTAGTCTTGTAGACAGAGAGGTAAGGAACTTTTCCTGCCTGGTCTCAGGTACTCCCAATCACACAATTGTATACATAGCATGTCTGTACATGTACACATACACATACCTACACACAGAATGTGCCTATAGACACACACTTTATGGACGTAGACTCTGCTTGAGTTATAAAAGAACCTTTGTCGGTGTGTAGCAATGTTCACTATTGTTTTCATTTGTAGTTTCTTTTTTGTTTTTTTAAGATTTATTTATGTATGCATACAAGAGCTGGGGTACAGGTCAGAGATGTGGGGGGTGAGAGGACTCACCAGAGACAGAGTGGGGAGCAGAACAGGCGGACTGACTGAAATACACTGCTGAGGGGAGCAGCGGGCAAGGCAGGAGAGGTCTGCTGAGCCATGTGGTCCCTCTGGCAGGCCAGGGATCGAACTACTGCAGAGGCTGCAGATTGCTTCAAAGTGCTATGCTTAATCACTTGTGCCACCAGGGAGGCCCCCATTTACAGTTTCTTAATGACAAATGATGTTGAACATCTTTCTATGAGCTAATTTGCCTTCTTTTTAGGAAACCTATTCTGTACTCTTCTCCCTGAGGCAAAGATTTCAAATCCTACCAACTGACTCAAGCCTTGTGCACAGCTTGGGGTGGGGGCAGGTGAGGGGTTCCCTCTTCTGAGCTCCTGAGAATGAAACCACACCCAACCCAGCCCCAAGCAGAGAAGCTGACCCTAGAGAGGAGGGGTCCCTGATGGTAGGACTCCTTGAAGGACTGGGTTGCCCCCACCAGGCCTGGAAAGCATCCTCCTTGCTCACCCCAAGTCTGTCAGTGGCACCAAGGGTGTTATGAGACCAGGTGGGCATGTGGCAAAGGAGCACCTTTGGTTCTTTCGTGGTTTAATCCCATCCTGCTGATTTCAGGATGAATTGAGCCTCAGTTTACCTTCACTTTATTTGGCCACTTATACACCCACTTGGAGGTAGAAGCATGGCCTTCCTCCCTGCTTCCTGTCTCTGAGGATGGATTTCCACAGCTTGAAGATCCAGGTTGAGGCCAGGGGATCCCGTGGGAGCTCTGCTATCATGGCTGCTGCTGACTAGCTGGTGGGCTGGAGAGCGGCATTGCCAGAGGAACTCCGGCCAGTCGGTGATTAGAAATGACTGTCAAGATTCTGCTTAGCCGGGGTTCCTAGGTTAGTGAAATCCACAGAGACAGAAAGTAGCAGGGTGGTGGCCGGGGCTGGGGGGCGGGGAGGGGTGTAGTGTTGAATGGTGCAGAGTTTGAGTCTGGCAGGCTGAAGCTGTGTGGGTGATGGTTGCCTAACAATGTGAATGAACTTAATGCCGCTGAAATATACAGTTAAAAATGGTTAAAACAGTCAATTTACAATTTAAAAATTTGAAAGGAGAATTCCAAAGTGGGAAAGTGACATCTCAGTCTCGGCTGGCCAGGAGCCCTGAGGCTCTGACCCTGGCTGCGCTGGCGGGCCGTCGCCCAGACACATCCCTGCACTCTGGCTGCTGCCAAAGGCAGGATCCACATGCAGGGGCGGAAAGGGATGCGCGTCGCCATGTGTCTGAGGATGGGCACAGCTAGACCGACAGCAAGCTGCCCCAGCCACTCCTGTTCCACCTCAGCCCTGACTGGGCCCAGGCAGGTGGCCCTGCCGCACCACACGTGCCATCCCAGAGCCTCAGTGTCCCTCTCCACGCTGTGCCCTGAAAAGGACCCAGGAGGGAGACTGGCCTCCCTGGCACAGGGGCCTGCCCACGCTGGGCGACACTCACTTGGCATAGGCTTTCTCCAGCAGGGCGCCCCAGAACTCATTGTTGTCGGCTGAGCGGAGGTAGATCAAGCGGTCCCTGGAGGTGGGCAGCCGGTCATCAATCACCACGTCTACCCACTCGCCGTATTGCCAGAACTGTCACCCGGGGCAGAGAGAGATTGCAGGGTTGAGTCTCACAGGAGGTCCAGCCCCCCTTTGCCCACGTTATCACTTTGCTTTTTCCCACTCAGATCTGGAGGAAACTCTCACGTGGGTTCTGCGATGGGCTCAGCTGTGCTTTGTCCACGGAGCCACGTGCGGAGCATCCCACCCGCCCTTGACATGGGCTCGAAGACACTGCGCGGCCCCCTCAGAGCCGGGGTGGACACTCCAGGGCTCTCCGACCAGTTCTCTCTCAAGAGGAAAAGGCACCCCTGATGACCAGCAGCTGCAGAAACACCTGACATCACACTGCGCCCCAGTGAGGTAAGTTCACTTACCTGGAAATGGAAGATCCCAGCATAACCGGAGCCAAAGGTTTGGTCCTGGGGGACCACTCTGGCCAGCGCTTTCTCGTTGAACGTCAGGGAGGCAATGGCGGCTGACAGCCAGCAGTCACCTGTAAGTGAAAAGTCCTCAATCGCAGGTCTTACTGCTAATTTGTGGTAAACAGGACAACTCCATGGCCAAAGGAGATGTGGAGCATTCCAGATGCTCCAGATGTATCTTAAAATAAGGGAAGGTTACCAGCAAATCTCTCCCCTCTGCCTCCCTTCCCAGCTCTCCTGCCCACTTAGCACAGACCGCTCTTGTCTTGGCAGTGCTATAGGTCAAGCCCACGTGGGTGTCACAGTGCTCTACTGCACGTCAGCTCCGTGGAAGGCCAGGAGGCCAGGGCTGTGAGAGTTAGTGTCAGCGGGCCAGGGTGAGTGATGTCTCATGCTGCTTGTCCTATGGCACTTGGGGTGAGCTCGGAGGGAGCACTTTGCCGGGGCTCATGCCTCCCCAGGCTAGATTTAGCTTTGTTGAAGGTAATAATAGCTCCATGGGCATCATCTACTTTCACTTATCTTGCAGTTTCAAGATTTGTAGACTGATCTGCTGGTTTCCCCAGCTATAACCTTCAAGTTAGCCCCCATTCAGAGGAAAACATAAAAGTGAGTGTGAACGTCAAACAGTGTTTTAAGCTTACACTGTACAGACTCCCACATGCGTTCATGTGCTCATACTGAGCATGGGGTGGGCACCTCATCTGTACCTATCAGAGCTCTTGCTGCTGCCTGTGAAAGATGTCTGAGCAGACATTGGGAATTACCTATTAAACCAACAACCTCCCCATTCTACCCCAAATGTATTTGTTTGTAGTCGATAATACCACTTGAACTCATTGGAACTCAAGTGTGGCTTCCTGGGGGTTGACATTTCCGGAAAGTTCTTTGTACCACTGGACTTGGGACACTGTCACACAACCCTTTTTGGTCATTGCCAGAGACTATTTCGCCAGAAATGTGCTCAGCTTTTGAAGGGAGAGATTCAGATGCTACTTATACAATTCAAAATAAGGGAAAAACCCCCAGAAGAGATGAAAATTACTGATCACTGTAGAGTTTGTGCCAATGGACAGGTTTGGCCACCTCAAGCACGATGCTGGGTGAGGGTGCCCACAAAGTTCAGTTTGTTGGGTGAAAGCATGCAGGTGGCCACTGATAGGGAGGGGCAATGATGGTGTTGGTGATAGTCAAGTGCCATTTGGGGGGCTGGTTCACAGCTGGCCATTTTGTTAACCTTTATTCACATGTTTTTTTTTTGCATAGAAGTGGGGTATAGGCCAGATGTGGAGTGGTGAGAGGATTCACCAGAGAGAGAGTGAGGAGCAAAACAGGTGGACTTATTAAAATACACGCTAAGGGCAGCACGTGCTAGACAGGCGAGGTCTGCTGCACCATATGTGGGTTAGCTCCCTGGCTGGGGATCGAACTCAGGCCATAGCAGTAATAGCACTGAGACTCAACCCCTAGGCCACCAGGGAGGCCCTCTTTCATTCATATGTTATATATTTTTTTTTAAAGATTTATTTATTTATTTATTTATTTGTTTATTTATACAAGCACTGGGTACCGAGGGGAGCAGCGGACAGCAGGAGAGATCTGTCGCGCCATGTGGGACCCTCACCAGATGGCCGGGGATGGAACTGGTGCTGCAGAGCTGAGCACAGCTTCTAAGCCTAGACATAACTGCTGCGCCACCAGGGGAGGCCCCTCATTCATATGTTATATACAGTATTCAGATATAGAAAAAGTGCCACAAAATAATATCTGTCAAAGTGACAAATAAAACTTTTATACCAAAGTGACAAATTAAAACTTTGAAAACAACAAAGGAGTCCCATCAATGATTTTCTAGTGAATGATAATCCCTAGTGAAAGAGAATCACCAGGGGGATGCGTGGAGGGGTGGGTGAGGGGAGTAGAGGAAGAAGGGGGTTGACAACTGAGAGGGGGATGTTGAAGAGAACAGGGAGAACCTCTTAGGGGGGCTACACCTCAGAAAATGAAGACCAACCTGAACACTTTTTTTTTTTGAAAGGCCAAGGTTATATTTAGAATGTATAATTCCATGTATCCACCATGTCTGTGTCTCTGGGTCTATCATCTACCTACCTACCTGTCCATCGTCTGTTTATCTTCTGTCATGATTCATGTGTCTGTCTGTCTGTCTGTGTATCAACCATCTATCATCATTCTAGGTGTGACTTTTGAGTTCTGGGAGGGAAACTCAGCCACTTGTCATGAAGCTCCCGGCATGTCCCACTTCATCCGTCAGACCACAGTGGTGACCTCAGCTGTGGGGAACTCAGTGTCTGCTCCCGCTCACAGTAGTTTGCTCTCTTTGGTTCATTCCTCTGGGGGTTGAGGTGGTCCCAAATGCATGAACCCCAGAGGCAGTGAGGCAAAGTGGTTAAGAGGAATTGGGGGTCCTGACTCTGCATATCTATCATGTCTGTGACTTTGGATAATTTACTTTGCCTCCCTCAACTTGGGTTTCTCTGTAAAATTGGGAGCGTGGTTGGGAAGATGAAGTGAGGCAATGAGTGCTGAGGGGAGGCCTAGCAGGCGACCGAGCTAATGTTCTGATGAAGCCAGCAGCCAGGCAGTGCCTCTGGGTCTATCTGTTCTCTGAAAACTGGTGGGGAGCAGAGCGCCAGGGATGTGGAGTCCTCTGGCTCCCCTTCAGCAGAGCAGGTGGCCACTGGGGAGGAGGGGGAAGCAGAAGATGGGAGCAGTCATGTTCCCCAATCCCTGTGCAGGGAGTTGCTGGGGACCTGTGCTGCTTGAGCCTTGGCGGCAGCTCAGACCCCCAGGAACAGTCTGTCCAACCACCAGCTCTCCTTGCGCGACCCTCTCACTCACCAAGCTGCCCTTGGCGATGTCAGTCCTGGTGGCCCTCCAAGAATGAATTCTGGTTTTTCACTATTTCCTGGAAGAATGAGGGCATCGTCAGTGAGGCCTGGCCCTCCCGCCCCTTCCTGGCTGGCTCTCCTTTCTTGCAGCAGAACACTTCATTCCTGTTGCATTATTGTTTTTCCTATGGAAGGACATGCAAAGGGACAGCCCAGCCTCGTGGTGGGATGCGCCAGTCACACCACTTGGCCCCTCCATCCCCTCTGCCTACATGCCGGTCAGTGAAGGGAGCCTCTTCTCTGCTTGGGGAACTTGGTCTCACGCTCAGGGACCCTCCCTAGGAGGATTTCATCCCCGTAAGCACACTTGGTGTCTTCTTTCCAACTCATACTGTTTTAATGAAACCATCGGTGCTGTTGTTGCCTGTGATGCCCCCTTCAGAGCCTGTCTCCTGTGAGGCTGGCACTGGCTTGCCTGTGAGAACCCCATTGTTCCTCAGTAATCCATGCCTCATTACTATGCAGTGCTGATCCCAGAGAGGTCACTGAGCAGGCGATGGCATGAGCCCCGCAGGGAGGCCAGCAGGAGGGAAGGAAGTAACTAGAATTTCTCAGGAGAAAGCCTGAGGCACTCAGTGATAGCCTTGTCAGGTTTAGGAAAATACTAGATGACCAGAAGCCGTTTAGACATGATTCAGGTGGACGGGTAAATAGGTCAGTACACACACACACACACACACACACTCACACACACACCCTCCATCAGGAAATAGCAATAAAGAGCTTACCACTGTATAAAGAACTCATGTGTACCTTGAACCCTGCCCTGAAGTTCCAGAATCGTGTGTGTGTTTTGAATAGACAGGCTGTGTATTTAACACATCTTCATTATTTTCATGAAAGGAGACAGCATGAAGGCAGACATGGGGCACCCAGTGCCTTTCAGAAGGTGGGATGCAGAGCAAATGATGGTGATGCCAGTAACCGCAGCAGGACGCCGTGTCTGCCGTGGGCACTAGTGTCTCAGCTTCACAGGGAGGAGACTGAGGTGGGGAGTCAGTGGTGTGACTGGTGTGACCACAGTCCCTGGACAGATGGTGCAGGGTCTCAGCTGCCTCCCGGCCCTCTCTGCACTCCGTCCTTGCCATCACAGCCCACCCCTGGGGGCTCTCCCAGGCGGGTCCCCACCCGAGGGAAGGCAGCCAGCACCACCCAGTCAGAGGCTGAGCCCTGACTAACCCAGCACAGGAAATACTGACTCCTTGTCCCAGGCAGCAGCTGATGGCCTTGGGACCATCACCTGCAATTGTTAGGGGTGGGGGGGCATGGACACTGGCTCATGGGTACTGCGGGAAGGGGAAACAGGATGTGTTGGGCAGCCCCTTGCTTCCTATGCACCCCCTATCATGGAGACACTGCACGCTTGCTTCGTGAGCCCCGTCCACACTGAGCACCCTGGGCTCTGCGCAGAAGCTGCTGAGCACTTTACATACATCACCCAGGTGAACACCCTCCTGGAGTGGGGGCTGGGGCTGCCCCCCACCCTCTCCCCTTGGGGGGGACCTGGTGCCTGGGACTGGCCCAACTCATCCTGAATAGCCTTGACCTCCACTCCCTGACTACCAAGACACTGTCAGACTCGAGTCCTGACCTCCCTGGGAGTGAGACTGCTGGGGGCTGGATGCAGCAGATGCCCTGGAGTCCCCCTTAGAGCACCCCCAGCCCCGCCAGCTGTTGTGTGCTCCCTGCATCACTCCCAGCCATCACTCTGCATGGCCTCCCCTGGGAAGCCGGCCTGGATCGGGTTTGTGTTCTGCCTCCCCTCTTGCTCCCTCCTCTCCTGCTGCCCTCCCCTGGGTCCTTGGATCCTCCTTGCAAGCCCCCTGACTGCCACCCCCACCTCTGGCTGCACTCACCCCTGGCCGATTCCACACGACGGGGCTCTCGGGCTCCTTGCTGTAGAAGAGAGAGGAGCTGTTGGCCGGGAAGTCTGCGTCCTCAAACAGCGTGCCCTTCCGCAGGCACTCCTGCCTCAACTGCTCGAAGCTCTGGCCTGAGGAGTGGATGATGCGAGCATCCTTGTGATCTCGGCCTTGGGAGAGGTTAGGCATGGCTGCTGGCTGCTCCTGAACTGGCAGGTGGGCTTGGAGTCTGCGATGGGCAGGCAGGCACAAGACGTGTGGGCCAGTCAAGAGGGAACCAGCTCAGGGGTTCCTGGGCTGAGTGGCTCTTGGTCTTACCTTTAGCCTGGGAAACTCCCTGTCAGGCCCAACAGGGCACGCCCTGATAATAAACTGCAGAGAGACCCCTCCTCCCTCCAGCAACTCTGCAGACCCACAGGAGCTGAGGGGCGGGGCCCATTCTGGGCAAGGCAGCACCCAGCACCCTCTGCCTAATGCCCTGAGGAGACCCGCGGGAGCTGGAGGATGCGGGATGAGGAAGGAGCGCCGGGAGCCACATGGGTCCAGGAGGTGGCAGGCAGTGTTCGCTGGTCAGGGAGAGCTCTGCGGGAACTGGGATCCTGTCTTCAAGTTGAGAGTTGTCTTCTGTAGTGGGCGGTGGTGAATCATTGAGGTACCTAGTATGTGATCAGGGCTCACACAGCCCTCACACACCACCTAATGTGACATAGAGCAGGAGAAACTTCACTGCAGAGAGCCAGATGTGGTTTTCTGCTCTGCCCCCCCGCGCTCACCTGCCCTAGCGCCCCCACCCCTCGCAGGACGCAGGTGAAGGCCACAGGGGCCCTGGACCTCGAACCAGAGCTGCTGCCTGCGCCCCACAGACTCCTGCTCACTTAGCCCCACAACGGTGCGTGCCCTGGATCTGCTCAGGGCTTCGCTCCACGAAGGGTCGCGGTGTCTTGTCTGTGTTTGGGAGAGGCCTTGGGAAAGTGACTGATGCTCCGGTGACTGCAAACGCGCGGGAGACTTTCCCAGCAGCTCAGGTGCCCCCTTCTCACTCTCAGAGCCCGCCCCACCAAATAGTGACCCTCCCTGCAGCACCCCGCGTGTTCTCATCACAACCCTCCATTTTGCATTTAACCAGAATATTCCAGGGACCCAGCACATCGCCCCCAAATAAACCATGTTTGTTCCCACGTTAGAATCCAATCCCGGCCCATTTCAACTCTCAACAGTTCTCCAACTGGGCGAGATCATCTTCTTCGTCTGATCGACTTTTCTCTTTTGCAACTGTCCCTGTCCCTGCTCCTTGTTTTCACAAGCACGAAGGGTTCAGTGTGTGCCCGGGGGGGGGGGGTGGGGGGGTACTTTTCTTTTCATTTTTTAAAAAGATTTATTTGTGTGTCCAAGCACTGGGGTGTAGACCAGAGGTGGGCATGGTTGTGGCAATGGTGGGGAGGGAGGATTCACCAGAGAGAGTGGGAGGAGAACAGTGCTGCAGGGGGCCTCGCTGCCCCAGCCAGGTAAGTCACTGGCAAACAGCTAAGAAAAGGGCCTCACACCGTGGGCCCAAAGTTTAAAGAGCCTGACATGGTGGGCCTGAAGATTTCTTGTGCCTCACACCCTAGGCCTGAAGATTAAACCTCCCTTTGTTTTTTGTTCTTGGTCATAAAAAGAAAAAACTCATGGAATATACATTGGGCAATAAATTATACGTATAAGAATATTGTAAGTACATGGCATGGAAAATTACTTGCTTAAAATTAAACACTGAATAATTTGGCCCACTTGACAATGGGAAATAGTTATTGTGCAAGGGCATGTCTGATAAACAACCCAGAGCTGGTCATAATAATATTCCTCATATGGAAGTTCTGTAAAGAAGCCTTGTAACGAATCCGAAAGTGGATGACGCCAGGAGTTTCTAGGTAGGAAAAAATGCTAATAACTGATTCCCGGAAAGCAACTGGTCTCTAAGTATAAGCCATATAGATAGAGGAGATGTCTCCTGATAGGGTAGCCTTGGCGACAGGGCGGCACCAAGGACTGTTAGCTGACCTAGGTAGTTGGTTAGGCTGAAATAATGCATCTAAGTTTTAATTATCTATTAACTTTTAAGGTAGTTTCTTTTCTTAAGAACATGTAGGCGACAAAATGTCTATGGGAAAGGAATGTACTGATTGTTGTGTTTTGCTTCTATGCATATGATGATGTAATCCCATCTCTTGCCTTAAGGTATAAATAAAGACCCGCTGAGACCCTCAGCAGGAGAGGCTTGCACCAAAATAAGAGTGTTTTGTGTCTGCCTCACTCCCCTTCCCTTCAGCCCTTAAAGAGTTTGGCCTAGGCCGTCTCATCCTTTCAGGGACATCTGACCCGACATTTTGCTGAAAGCTGGTCTTCGGCAGAACAGGCGAACTGCCTGAATACACTGCTGAGGGGAGCAGCAGGGAGACTGGGCAGGTCTGCCATGTGGGTTCCTCCCTGGCGGGCGGGGTTGGTGCCCCCTCCTGTCCTTCTGGGCTTGGCATCCTTTTCTCCGACCCCTGTCGTCACACTGGGAGGTGCGTGGGGTCTGCTCAGTGGCCCCACCTGGTAGCTTCTTCAGCTCAGCTCTTGTCAATTGGGTCCACCTGCTGCTGCATTTCGGGAGTCATGGAATGTTCTTTCTTGGACCATCTCACAATGCTTAGGCTCATCCCTGCGTTTCATTTTATTCTTCCAATAATAATGATGTCCAAATGTCTGCACATGTCTACAGCGATGGGGTCTCTTCTCTGAGAAGTGGCTATGCGGCTCCTTTGCCCACTGTGTATTGGGGTCTTGAGAGCCTCAGTCAGTCTAAGGCCCCCCTAATGGGGACCCATAGGAAAGGGTCAGCAAAAGCCAGACAAGTCTGGGAGGAAAAGAGCAACATCCAAATCAAGATAAAAGCTGCCACTGTTGGGGCCTCCTTGGTGGTGTAGGCAGTTGAGCGCCGCACTGTGAAGCTGTCCGCAGCCTCTGCAGTGTCGGTTCAAGCCTCTGCAGTAGCAGTTCAATCCTGGCAGCCGGCGAGAATCCCACATGGTACAGCAGACCTCTCCTGTCTCACCCGCTGCTCCCCTCAGCAGTCTATCTCAGTCCGTCTACCTCTTCTGTTCCCCACTCTGTCTCTGGTGAATCCTCTTACCCTCCCGCGCATCTAGCCTGTACCCCGGTTCTTGTATAAATAAATAAATCTTTTTTTTTTAAAGCTGCCACTGTCACTGTACCCCAGGTCTCTACCCCCCCCCATCTGTTTCAACCTGTCCAAGGCCAGGAAGCAAGGGCAGCCTCCTCACTTGTCTCTCTGCTCCACGTGCCTCCTCCAGGCCTCCTCCTGTTTCCGTCCTGCTTCCTTCCTCCTCCAGTCTCCTCTGCAGCTTCCCCTCCTCCCTGCACAGCTCCTCCCTCCTGGTCTGTGGTAGAGAATCTGGATGCTCCCCTTTTCCTGGGGACCACCTGTTACTATAGGAGCCCCTCCAATTCCATGCATTTGGTTGTCAACGGTAATAGTTTGTCTCTCCACGTGGCTGAATAGTGTTCTGTTGTGTGGATAGACCGCGTCTTGTTGACCCCCGGTCTCTCCGTGGGCACGCAGCCTGCTGCCTTGGCTTAGGTGTAATTTGGTTATAAGCGTGTGGAGGAGGCGAGCTGGGCATCTCCCCTCTGAAACCCTAGACGTTAAGCAGTAACTGTCCATCCCTCTTTCCCCTGCTTCTGACAGCCACGTTCACACTTCTGTTTCTGAATGTGACTAATCTGATACTCTCCTAAGTGGGGTTTCTCTACATTTGTCCTTTGGTATCTGGGCAATTTACTGCACTTTTTATAATGACTTTACGTTTCCTACAAGTTGTAGTAAGTATCAGAACTTCCTTCCTTGTTTAAGAGTGAATGTGACATTGTCTCTGCACCACATGTGGGTGTCACATTTGCTCAGCACATGGACACCAGTGTTTCTAGATACTGCTGGATGGTGACTGCAGCTGCTGTGAGCACGGGTGTGCAGATCACGCATCTGAGTCGCTCCTCTCAATTCTTTGAGCACAGGCCTGCAGTGGAATCGCTGCATCCCATGTTAACTTTAGTTCTGGAGGGAATTGCGTAGGACTCTCCACAGCAGCCGCACAGGTTGACTTTCTTCCTTCAGTGGCAGAATGATCTTGGATTTAGGCATCTACCACATTCTGCTTCTCCATTCATCCACTGGTGGACATTTGCACGGTTCCTGCCTTTGGCTCAAATGACCAGCGCTGCTATAAGTAATTGTGTACACAATTGAGCTTGAACGTCTGTTTTCAATCCTTTGGGGTTTATATATCGAGGTGTGGAAGCGCTCACCATATGGTACTCTTATTTGTAACATTTTGGGGAAGTGACAAACTATTTTAAGCGTGGACTGGCTCACGGTAAAATCACAAAAGCAAAGCCTAGCTCTTGCCTCGCAAAGGCGGGCCGCGGGGACTTGCTGCCCGTGTGGAGAGAGCCTCCCCTTGCAGGCCAGGACGGCCGGCAGCTGGGGGTCAAGGCTGCTCCAGCGCCCTCTCAGCCTCTCCCAACTGCTTGGCTGGGAGACAGCTTGACTTAAAACAACAAAACCCACAGGCTAGACACGTCAGCCTCGAGTTGCTGCATTTCGGGCAGGACGACTGGATTGCTGCGTGGTGAGAGCTTCTGTTCCACGGGAAGAACACGGGTGGCCGCGAGCACAAGCCCGGCCGCTGTTCAAGACTCCGACGGACACTGGGGGGGCTGGAATCCACGTGCGGGCTGTGGGCTGCAATCTCGGGGCACCCCAGTCCCGCGGCGGCTGCTCCACACGAGAGCGCACGCCGGCCCTGGGGGATGTGGCCCCTGCCGAGGGGCCCTTGGCGGGCTGGGGTCCCGCGGACCACCCGGGGAGGCGGCCACCGCCAGGCCCGACCCTCAGGCCAGGGCACCGGGTCCGGGGGTGGGGGGTGTCCTTCCCAGCGGGGCGGAGAGCTCCCGGGCTGGTTCTGGCGGGGCTCCAAGACCCCGGCGCCGACACCGTGCATGACATCCCACCCAGGTCTCCCCAGACACTGAGCGGGCCATGTGGGCGAGCCCCGAGCGCCGAGATCCCACGAGTCTGGCCGCTGGTTCGCCAAGACTGCAAGCTGGAGTTGGGTGCCTGTGGCCCGCGACCACACTAGGCCTCCCAC